GAGGGCAGGATCCTGCTCCTCAGCTGCGCAGGGAGGCAGCTCTCCTAACCTCAGCATGCAAAAGCTGAAAGAGTAAACATGCTTTAAGGGAGACCAAAGCAGAAAGGGAAGATTGACAAATCAGGTACATATATCAGATTTTGGTAAGAAAGCAAAAAAAATACTGCTTCAGTTGTCCTTATAGAAATGTTGTTTGTTTATGTGCAACGAAAGCCAGCCTTGGTTCCAACAGCGCACCTATCCTGGGAAACATGACGTTCCTTCTGTTACAGGAGTCTATCTTTATTTTACATCACTCCTGTGCACGCACTAGTATGTAAGACAAAAATATTCTAAGCTGCTGAACACATAGGTAAAGCCCCGGTTCCCTAAAAACAAAAGATGCTGTATCCAGTCAGGTTGAAGCATCATATTTTTCCAATAATCATGGAGGCAAGGAAGTTACTATTACTTAAGTAGTCAGAAATGGGGAGTAAACCCATGGTAAGCTGGAGTCAGCCTTCAATCATATCGAAGTGTAAAGACCAGATGGCAGCTCTGCTGTTATTGGGAACTTCCTTCCCAAAATGAGGAAACATTTGCAGGCTGAACAAAACCCAACTGCACATTTATCTCAACCAGCAATAGAAAACTAGTTCACGTGAAAGCTACAAACTAATCCTTCACATACCTGGACACTATTCCAGGACATGAAATATGCAATACTTAAATGTAGTAAAAAAAGAAGCCTATAGACCAACCTTTTGAAAATTGTACTTTATTAAATATACAAAAGCTCAGCACTTCTGTAGAAAATTGTATCTTCATCTCTCATACGGTACTTCCGGTTAGTTTCGTGCGTCATTGGTAAAACAGCAGTCCAACACCTGTTTTTCTCCCCAGTGGAGCACAATTCTTCATTGATGGAGAAAAAGTTGGTATTAGCGAGCAGTGGGAAGAGTGCACAGTATCACCAATGCATGACAGCTGCATGCATGAGACCACCTGCACTTCCTATAACCTTTACTCAGTATTCCTGCTTTTACCAGAGCAACCAAGCCACGAGACTGAATTGACAACATTCAAATACCAGAAGAATGAAAATAATTAAGGCTAATAAAGTAATTACTACTTCTCAAAACATTTATGATTTATAACTCAGATCTCTACTTCAGTACCATTTGTATCAAACATTTGCTTCTATGTATGTTCAAGTTAAGTTCCTTTGGTATGGGAAACACATTTCTTCTGATGGTCATAACTGGATTTCATAAATGAAGACATATATTTTGTACTGAATTGTGTATACTTACAGAAAAACCCCAGTGTAGTGTAGGGAGGGCACCCCTGGAAGCCAGACTCTAGCTAGGTGGACAGAGGCTTAAAAAAAGACAAGACAGTCTCTAATCTCAAGTACTTGTTACAGCAGAAATATGTAAACATGAGCACACACGGTGCACACTGCTGAACTGTGATATGCCGCAAGCACGCTGCAGTAACCGGGACAGAAATGCACTTGAAAAATTTCTAACCAGGATTCAGTGCAAAACCCGACCACCTCCTTCTCACTGCTGCTTCTTTGGCGGAACACGAGATTTTGCAACCACAATTGGAACTACAGAGAGCAACCCGATCAGCAACGCCCAGAGAGGGCGGTAGAAGAGCCAGCCGATGGAAATGGTCAGGAGCGACAGTGAACTGGCTACGCAGAAGGCAAATGCTTTTAATCCAATGTTAACAAGATCTCTCACAACAGGAAACCAGTCCACTGCAGAAAGAATTAAACAAGGGATAAAGCAGTTGACAAGATGATAGTTCAAAAGGAAGTCTTATTCATGCCTAGGATTTGCATACTAACGATTGGAATCAAAAGACAGACCCAAATTATTTATCAAGAGCACTGGATAAGGCATTTCAGCAGAGTATCATCAAGGCATTTGATAATTAGGCAATAGCTGAACATCAAAGACAATGATATCCTCATCTCTTCAGACAGGAAGTAAACCAAAATTAAGTCTGAAGTCTTGTCCAAGGCTTGAGAGGCAGAGTAAAGTGATAGCCTCGCAGCTATGCCCAAGTCTAGGGCAAATGATGCAATATACTAGCACAAAAATTAATTTCTGGCAACAATAAATGTTGCAGTAGCATGTATACAGATAAGTAAATAAGAAAAAAAAGAGTGAACCACTACAAAGCAAACAATAGCTTTGATGTTTGAAGTTTATACAAGTTGGAGACACCGTCCTGCTTTTCTCTAAGTTTTTGTTCCAACTTTTTTCTACACTAAAAGGATAAACGAAAACCATTTTTGCTGTGTATTCACAGTAGTGTAGAATAACCAGACACAAAGACATGTTACTATACAACTACTAATTAAGACCTGATGGGGGGGCCACTTGTGTATCGGTGTAGAAAGTAATTGGATTGCAGCAACTTGAGTTAGACTTGAAAGAACCAGCCCAACGTGTGTTTTGGCTTCTGATTTTGGTAAGCACTGGGCTGGGATCTTCTGAGACTGGCAATAGATATTTGTGCGTTATTTATTTTTTTTTAACGTTCACAAAGCAACTGTCTGGTTCAGGGGTCCTGTTTACCTGCAATTGCCTATAGTAAATTCCAGATCAAATCCAATCTGAGTTCAAACCAGGTTCCTCCTGACCTCCAAATTAATTCATTGCATATATGAACAAGAGAAGACATCTCTAGGGATTATGATTATAGTGTTTTAGCTTTCTGTAAAAAACTTACCCAAAGTGTAAAAAATTCGGGTCATTAGGCTGATGCCTACAAACATCGCCAGCCAGCCTGCTGCACGGAGGGCCCAGGTCTTCATGGTGTTACTCTCATGCTCTTTCTGAAACACCTCCTGAAAGCAAACACCATTATATGCAGCCTGTTTCTCCATTTCTTTTGAGATCCTCGATTCCAGTGTATTATGAGCAAATCAGAGCCAACAGCATTTTAGGAGTACAAATTCTCTCATAGAAGATATATTGCAGCTCATCCTGCAGGGTCTTTTTGTGCAGTATTGCTGCACACTACAAGAGACTTCAAAGTGCAGCACAACAAAACCCAGCATTTTTCTAAATTAACACAGCTAGACAAGCACCATTCGACACATAACCACAGGCAGGAAGCACGCAGGTTTTGCTGCAAATGGATACATTCAACATTACTGTGGAAAATAATACACTGATACGTAAACATAACAAGAAGGAATGATCTGACTTCACTATGTTTGGAGGAAGAGAGAAAAGGCAATGATATCCACCGGTGCCTGAAGAAAAGTTATATGAAAGCAAGCAAGCAGTATGCAGGGAAGAAAGGATAAAAGGTATGTGTATATTGCATCAGGCAAAGCAAAGCATCTGTTTGCAAGAATTCTGAGTAAGATTTTTTTCAAAATGGGTTGTATGCCCCTCTGGCTTTAAAAAATGTGCACATGAAGATGGCTAAGACATAATAAAGCACTTAATTGGAAAAGACACGTATGACTGATTGACTACTTGTACATACAGGTACTCTGTGAATTATTCATTTATAGTGAGTTAATTTCCAATGAACTAAAATTCTGTCTAACGACGATTCAGAGCTCACAGCAGAGAGCTGATTCTCTCCTGCTCCTCTCTTTCAACTCAAAACAAAAGCCTTTTAAACTGCTTTTGGGAGCTCCTGTAAATTCTTGACATCTGGGATTTTTGCAGCAGGGCATGAAACAATCGTTAATGGAAACAAACCTACTAAAAGGAATAAATGAATCACCAAATTGCTGGAGCATGCAGGATTTATTGGAGCGTAATGCTCTGCCTGAAGGTTCTTTCTCAGTCAGAACAGCAATAAATATTTCAAACAAGTCTAAACTCCTGTTATTAGAAGCGGAAGAGAGGATAGCTGCTACAGTTTGTTTAATTAAAGCCTGCTTTTTACTATTTTTACATACGATCTTTTCAAAAGCACGTGCTTGCATGTGTAAGTGGGAAACTACCAAAGAGCAAATAAAAGCAAAATGAGAAGGCACAAAACCAGCATTTAAAGCAAAGGATGTTCAGCAACACAAGGGGATTTAAAAAAATAAATATATAGCTACTTCAGCCACAGTTCCTTTTTAAAATTAAAAAAAAACCCCAAACATCAGGAACAGCTATAGCCAAATTATGTACTGCTAGTGGGCGAAGCACGGTGTTTTGCGGCAACATAAACAACATGCAGAAACCTGGAAGGCAAACACTGGCTAATGTGTTGTCCTAGAAAAAGGAGAGAAAAAAGCCAATGTTTACATTGAGCACCTCCTCCTCTAGAGCAGGTCTGAAGGAGAATGAAAGCTTATTCCTCTGCTGTTTCTGCACTACTATCTCCAATTTTAACCCTTCACTAGTACAGTGTGGTATCTCACCTCCACAGAGAGATCCCCAGGGTAGAGAATCTGCAGGACATCTCCAGACTTGGTATGATATGGAACCAGTTGATCACCTCGCTGGCGAGCAATTACAGTCACCTTGGAAGAAAGAGAACAATATTTACTGGTTACAGAGTTGGGAACAGAGTTTGCAAAATACAGAAACAGCTGAAGACTCACCTTATCAGCAGAGCCCAAATGTGGGTCATCTCCACTCAGACCTGCATAGAAGAACGAGACACGAAGATCTCCTACCTACAAACAAGAGAATATTGGAAGTCAAGAAAGACTTCTTTACCAAGGAAAATCACAGGAAAGACAACTTTGCATGGCAACACCCATTATGTATCAACACTTTTTCTGAATGTTTATGTCAATCCAGAGGACACCCAGAATGATTTCCAAGCTTTACCTTTTTCAGGCCTAGCTGATAGCTGAAACAGGACAGCTCAAATGCTGTTTTGCAATACCTCCTCTGATTTAGCTGCAGGAGCACATTAACACCAGTGAGATCCTATGTTCATCCCTTGTCATTTCATCTTGTGGCAGAGGAGGGCAGGCAGCACAAGCTGACAACACTATTTACTATTTCATTGTACTCGGTTCAGTAGAGCAAGGCAGAGGTAGAACCCACTGCCCAGCACCATCCCATGTCTTTCCATTTAAAAGCATGGCAGACTCAAGAAAACAGAAGACAAAGAAGCAGGATCAGAAGCTTCCTGCAAGAGAAGCACTCATGCTGAAGGACTGTATGAAGGGTCTCATCCTATGTGATGGTCTGCACTCCAATTTCTACATATTTAAATAGAAATGGGTCACGCCCCAACTTTCTTTTTCACAAAATAGTCATCATTGCTTTGGTTTATCTTTCTTGTCTTACTTCTGGACGCCTGGGGTTCTCACTGTGGTAAAAATAATCTCCTCCTCGGGTAACATCAGCATGTGGATCCTCAAGGTTTGACAAGCTCAACTGCTTGAAGTCATCAATTTTATCCACAAGACCTAAGCAGAATAAAGAAACAAGCTCAGGTCCAGTCTCTAACTTGGAAAAGCCAATTTGCTGGCTGGCTTCCTGATTATCATTTGAAATGACTGCCATTGTGGAAAGAACCAAAGTCCGCTGCTGATACACCAGCAGACACAAAGCCAGTACAAAACAATTCTCACCCTTGGAAAGAACAAAGCTGCCAACCTGGACGTTAGGAGAAACAGCAGTGAAAGACTCCACAGCCATGGCACTGAGGAACAGAGAGAGTCCCTGATTAGTCCCAGACTTATGATCAAACTTTTGTTTTGCAGTATGTAATATACAGCACATAAAAGGTACTATGTCAAACATCCGGAGAAACTCAAAGAGCAAAATGGCTGTCATGATGTGAAAACAAATCCATCGAGAAACTGTGTCCAGACTTTAGTGTTGGAGCCATTAAAATAAGTTAAGACAAGATATGACTGTCTCATCTCTTGGCCTGACCTTCCATTCACGCTGTAGGGTTTCACTAGTTTTTTCTGTACTGAACCTATCATGGGCTGAAATGGAGTTCAGCTCTCAGGAAGCTGTTCAGTGGTGATACAGAGGTTTTGAGTGACAATGAATTAACCACATTCCTAGATGAATTCCTGCAATACTTAACTACACTCATAAATGCACTTTATTTCTAGCCTGAATTTATTTAGCTTCCGCTGTCAACTGCTAGATCTTACCTGCTAAATTAAGAAACCTAAATCATAAAAGTTCTCCATATAAAGGTACTTCTACATCATGGCCAAGTTAATTAAATACCAAACTCAGGAATCCTTTACTTACAGACTTGACTTCATTCTCATAAGTCGTACTACTAGAATCTCCTTGGCAGTAAACAACAGATTTAATTTTCACAGATGTCTAAGTTGCATAAAAAGAAAAGATGGATGGACGGAGCAAGAAGACATGTAGTACACACTTAAAATAGAATCTCATTAATGCTAGGCATGAATTCTAAAGTTCATCATGTCTGCACACACCATGCCATCTCACGCAAGGATCCACCACAGTTACGCTCAGCCTCCTTGATTTGTACCAATACACTCAGATGAAATGTTCTTACCTGCACTTTTAAAATCAGGTCCTGCAATAGCACTAAATCAAAAGTGTTTCTTACTCTCAATTGGAGATTTGCGTTTACTGGAGAATGCTTGGAGAATTTTCATTAACAAAAAAGTGTGCGTGGGGAGGACAGACAAAGCAGGCATGCCATCGGTGCGTCCTTTTTTCCATTATCTCTTGTCTATGCAAGTCTGCTAGTTGGGACTTATAATCAAAAACACATAGCTCTTTGCTTTCCCTTTTTGGAAGTAGTACTTCCAAATAAAGGACAGTGTATTTGGATGAGCCCACAGAACTAAAACAAAGTTCTGGAGATTTTGCAAAGTTCCAAGTTTTGTTGAAATCCTGGTCCTACTATCTCTCCAGCTGTATTTTTCACTCACACGTGATGTTTTTTGCCAGATGGCATCCTGCATCCTAAGGAACCAAGCAGGTGCTGTGAGAATGTCAAGCAAGCTAAAACTTAGCATTTAAAATGGCACATTGTGGTGTAACTACAGAGATATATGAGAGACATATGAAATATTATATATGGGTGATTGCCACAAATAAGTCTGTGAGCTCATGCATGCTAGCTTAGAAAAAGCAGCATGCAAGTGGCATGACAAGCTTATGGCATGCCTGCTGTTCTAACCCTGTACTTGTAATAAAGAAAAGCGTTAGTAATAGACTGCACTAACAGACAATAGAAGTCAGAAAGGAACCCATTCAAGTTCTCCTACATGGAGACCACATGGTCCAGAGGTAATATAATAGCCTGACATCCAGCTATTACTAATGGAAAGCTTAAATCTGGTTCCACCAGGCAGCTTTGAACTGCTCAAATCTCTCAAATGCCTTAGTTCTCCCGACTACCAAAAGACCAACAGTTTCCACCTACTTCACTGTGTCATGAAGATCAGCCATTTAGCTTTCATCTTTGATCAGATACAGTGACAGAATCTAGAGGGACTGTGCTAGGTGCTACATTACCTAGGGTTTTTGTGTCCAATTTCTCGATCAAAGTTTCTGCTGTTCACAACTTCCGATTTCCATTCAGTGTCTAAAGAAAATGACATGAAAGTTGAGGAGAAAACAGGAAAAACTGCCACTCAGATCTTAGTTATTGAAGACACCTTTCAATCAATGAATCACCTCTAAGTTAGACTTGCAGAAATAACATCTACATCAAAATATGTATGTGATAGTCTGGACTAATACTTAAATCCATTTTCTCAGCTTATTAATGAGGAATGGCATGATTTAGAAAAAAAGGATTTTAGTGATAAAATTGTAACTTGACTTTGCTCAGTGGGAGCTTTGCTGTTGGGTTTGATTCCTAACTCCACTCTTTGGGAATAATATGGTTTTGTGAGGAAAGGCTGTGAGCTCTGCTGGAACTAGCCAATTTCAGTGCAGCCAAGCAACAGATAGAGGTGGTACTTCTATATGCCCCCGTCAAAAATGCATAATGTTGCCTTTGTTCAGGCCACAGCAGCCTTCCTGCATTCCCAGGACAGATTCCAGTAGGTTTCTTATAATTCCCTTTTTTGAGCAGGTTCCGTATTAAATATAGCTTGCTCTGATTCCATGAAGTAGTAGAGAGGAAGGAAAAGGAGTATGGTTAAACAGTGGAGTAGGGATCATTCTAAAGGATATTCTGGTGTATTGGGTACATGGCAAGATTTTGGTAGTGTCGGGGGCTGCAATGGTGGCCTCTGTGGCCTCAGGGGCTGCCCAGTGTTGAACACAGCTGGATCCACATCGAACCCACTGCAGGCCACAGCTGAGTCATCAGTGAAGTTTGGGGCACTTCTGTGAAAATATATTTAAGAAATGGCAGAAAACACCAAATGGGGAAGGGAGGGAACAATAGGGAGTAAGAAACAACAGTGAGAACACCAAAGTCAGAGGAGGAGGTGCCCCGCAGCAGAGCAGATATTCACTACAGCATGGCGAGAGTCCATGCTGGTGCATGGGAAAAGCACAAGAAGGAAAGAGAGGCAGAGAGAAAACACTACACACTGACTGTAAACCCACCCCCACCGCCCACATGATCTCTGCTTCACTACAGGGAGTGAGTGTAACCTGGGGCGATAACAAGGGAAGGCGAGGGGAGGGGCGGAGAGGCAGGCAAGGGGAAAGGAGTCTGGAGTGAAGTTGAGCCTGGGAAAGGGTGAGAGCAAATGTGCTTATCCAACACCCTAATCAGTAATTAAAATATTTATTTTGATGGGTAATAAATTCAGTTAATTTTCCCCAAGTCAAGTGTTTTGCCCATGAAATGGTAAAATTGGTAAGCGATCTCCCTATCTTTATTTCAACCCACAAGCTCTCTCATTCCTGTTCTTCCCAATCTCTTCCCCAGTCCCGCTGAGGGGGAAGGTAAGCAAGCAGCTGTGTGGGCCCTTGGCTGCCAACCTACCACATCTAGGAACACACAGGCTTTTACTGGACAGAATCCATCAATCTTGAGAGGGCAGCTGTTTTTTTAAAAGGCATTTCTTTTTGTTCCCTGCCACCATAAGGCTGTTTTTCACAGCTCACAACCACTAGCTTTGCTCCCTATGCATCTCCATGCTGCAGGGTCCCATGCTTCACTGAGCTGGGGTATTTTTATGATCACACCCAGAAACTGCTGCACACCCACGTTACATATCCATGTGCTTTAATCAGAGATAAATGAAGCACAGAGACCAATCTCCAGATATATGATGACTCAGAGTATTTTTCCGCCACTGGGTAGATCAGAATAATACTCTCAGTTCTGCTCCTGCCAAAAAAGCATTTGGCAAACGCAACAGCGCACTTCAGAAGGTGCTGATGGTTTTCATTACCTGGTATCAACAGCTAAACAGACTTTCAACAGGCTGTCTTATAGGCTGGAGCCACACTGTTCTTCCCTATATATTCTCTTCTGCTCACGCCTTACATATGCCCAATTACTCCACTTGTGAAGAGTAATCTCAGCCATACCTTTGAACACACTCCCATCTCTGCCCATCTCCTGTCACTGAGGACCTTATGGGTCCTATCTCCGGAGCATCCTATCCCTGGATGCTGCTCTGAACCTCTAGGAGTTCCAAGACAAGACTTTCTGTAGTAGTTGCTTGCTAACAGCACACCTCCTTTCACCTCAGTTACTTCAAGACAGGAAGGTCCTGCCCATTTGATCAGGAAACAGAATTTTTGCTTACTTCTTTACATTCCTTTCCTTTCTTTCCCAATAAGAAAATACAGGGTTTACAACAAAAATCAAAATATGCACACATAAAAGTCCAGAGTTACATGCATAACAGGAAAGGGACTTTCTGTTGATCAACTTACTGTATGAATATTTTGTCTCTTTCTTAATCTCACCATTCTCTTCATATTCCCTGCAGAGAAAACGGGTGGGATGAGAACCAAAACAGTGCACACACACCCCTGCTCAGGGCAGAATACACTTTACAAATGAAATGCACATATTGCTCACTGGCAACACAAACTTATCTTTACAAGTAAACTAACTCTTCTCTGAACTACCTATTCTGAAGACATAGATTCTCTGTACTAGGAGAAAACTGCACACAAATGCCAAAGAGCCACAACCCTTTTATTCCCATGTTGCCAACAAGGAGGTGTTGACTAGATCAATGTGGAACAACCAGTATTAAAGACAGTGCGACAAGCTGACCTAAATCAACAAGTTTTTTATAGATGCTGCACCATAACCATGTTAAAACTGAGAAGTTATTTTTCCCACCTCCACAACCTCCAACACTTTTTTTGTGTATAACACAAAAGAAACCTGGAACGTGAGTTCTGGGGAGTCAGACCTACATAATAGCTAATAACTTTTATACTACTGTCAGGGGAATTATAAATAACAGAAACGTTTTTCCCCTTCTGCTTCCAACTATTAGCAGAGTAGCTAACATCTCATTACAGTTTTGTAAATCCTGTTGAAAAGGCACCCAGACTGCAATATCGCCTATTATAAACTAACCTGAGTGTCTCTCAAGCAACTAAAATTTGCAGTTTACTTTCACAGCTAGAAATTAATATTGGCTTTTGATTATTAAGGATAAGGGGTAGCAGTGTCTTCTAAAAAATCAAGAAATCATGTCTTGGTTTAATGAAGTACTTCAATTTGCACACGTATGAAGTATGAAAGAAATAAAAGAGATTTCCCTCAGAGTTATGTGCCAAAAAGTCTCAAGTGTCTACAAGTCTGAGAAGAGAATCTGACTTCTAGATTCAATTGGATACAACAGGATTTTTTAACTGCTTTGAAATATTCTAGTGTATGTTAGGCTATAGGTATCAACCAGGCAGTTTTGGGGTCAATGGGTTTATCAGAGTTTATTCTAGAATTCATAATTGAAATTGTTGGGTTAATTTTCTAACAAAAGTTAAGACCCCTTTGGGAGATAAAAAAAAAACCAACCAGCCGACCAACCAAAAAAAATCCAACAAGTAAATCGTTGTCATTGTGGAAGAAAGCTAAGGGAAAATATGATTAAGTTTCTGGATTCAGCAAAAATCTTTTTGTATTTCCTTTTTGAGGACAGGGAAGAAAATTGGCTTGAGGATCCATGATCAAGTTTTAGAGAATGGCAGCAGATGCAAGGAAAAAGAGGATTATAAAGTCTTATTTGAAAAAATTCAGGATCAAATATTTTGGGACAATGGTTTTGATTCTGCTAATCAACTAGCAGGCAGGGAGTATTATGGGCTCAGACTTACAGAAATCCTGACAGGCAGAAACTACATCAATAAATAGAAGAATCTTTAGGAACACTGGAAAGGATAGAAATCAACTGAGTCTTTGGGAAAAATATGAGTGGGTTTTTTTTTCTTTTTCATAAATTGGTAAAGATCTTTGAATTCTGTTGACAACACATGCCAGAAAATAGATCAATGGGCTCTGAGGTGGCCGAACATCAGACAACAATAACGAAAACAAAAAACTACAGCCACAGCACGGAGGCCAAGAAACCCCATATGAAGTTATACAAAATCAGGAAACAGAAACATTTGCTAAAAGGCCTTGGATGTTACCTAACTTTTATCAGACGCAAATTCTGCAGCATTGACCATCTACAAGACCTGACATCTCCAAGGAAATTAAAGTGATTCTCTAAAAATACCCAAAAGCTCTAGAAGTCTCCTGCTGTAAAGACTTCTTGGGGTTTTTTTTAGTTCAGGGGTGGGGAGAGAAAAAAAAAGTGATGGGATCCTGTTGCGACAACAGCTTGTGCTGGTTTTGGCTGGGGTAAAGTTAATTTTCTTCATAGCAGCTAGTATGGGGCTATATTTTGGATTTGTGCTGTTTTAGTTATTGCTGAGCAGTGCTTACACAGAGTTAACGCCTTTGCTGCTACCAGCGAGTAGGCTGGGAGCACAACAAACAACTTTATAAACAACTTTTAAAGATTTTTTTCACTTACGTGGAATCTTCATATTCTACCCATTGGTACATTTCCACATTACGCTTAAGTTTGACAGCCTGGATGGAGAGCCCATAGCTGGGATCAAACAAAGGCTATTTAAAAATCAAAGAAAATACAAGTCAGTATAAATGCTGTACCTCACAAACTCAAACACTGTACTTTCATTATCAAACCCATTTACATATTTCACTGTACATAGTATATGTTGAATGCTGAATGTAAAAAGGACCGCCTCTTCAAATCACTGATAAATCTGACTTAAAGAATCATCATCAAAAATTATTGCCATAGTGAAAAATAAAAGCAGAAACGCTGACTAATGGTATGCAGGCTTAAATGTTTAAACGAGGGGGAGATTTATTTCACTGGAAGCTCCCATGCTGTGTTAAATTCTACAATGCATGCTGATCATGGAAAACGTCATCGCTACTGAAAAGTCAGAACTTGCAGAGCCTCTGTACTGCAAGAGCTTAAAGACTTTACAATATCATGAATACACAACAGGTTCCCTATACAAAAGGGAATTGAAGTTATCCCTCAAAGGCAGTGGGAGGGTAAACACAGCTAGAGGTAGCATATTGCTTGGGGGTAGGGAAACCAAGGCTGTACAGCATCTCCCTAATTCCAAGCCAAGAACCAAAGCTTGGGTAGTAGCCGACAATGCTTACAGGGAGGAGAGAAGCTACATGTCTTCTCCCTGGCTATCAAACATAGTTTTAATTGGCAAAGACTTTTCCTTCCCTCTAAGATTGAAACACTCATATCTTCAAGATACTGGTTTATTTACCTTAGATGTACTCAGAGCGCCAGCTAAGTGCACTAATCTTCCTTCGTTCTGCTGAGACACAGTGTGGATGCTATGAAGAGGGATCACAAGAGAAAGTCCCTCATCAAGAGATCTGGCTGTCCTTAAAGCTCGTCCCTGCAATCAAAAAAAAAGCAAAATCACATTGTGGAGAATCAATGGCACAGCAATATTTTGTGAAAAAGGTTAGCAGACAAGTGATCTGAAGACCACAAGGAACGCTTGTATATTCAGCCTCAAGGCATATTCTCAAAACACATTTGTAATTCTCCACTGTGTCTTCCTCTGTGGGTGACACAGTTTGGGGCAGTGCTTCGTACCCATGCAGCAGGATAATTAACGTTGACTAAGCTCCTCAAACACACATAGGTTATTCCTACAAGGGTCCAAATTTATTGCTCTTCACCTCTTTCTTTGTTCATTGTTCACAAATAACTGCAAACAATTATGCCAATTATGGTCCTTTTTCCACAGACCCATATGACTACTTGGCAGGAATTTTCCTTACCTTACTATCATGTTATGGCGTGCTTTTTCCTGCAAAGTTACCAAAACTAGGAGTAGTTCTTTTTCCTCTTGTAGAGGTATAAAAGGAAGTCTTAGATGAAAATTCACAGAATTCTGCTTCCCCACTCCAAAACTGCCAAAAGCATGTATGTTTGCAACGGTAGGGTGTTAGGATTCCCCGCTTACTTTAATTATTTTTTTTAATCTAAAACCAAGACATAAAACAAACCTGAGAATAAATAACACTCTCAGTTTTGCAACATGGAATATGAATTCCTTTAACGTAACTATAACAACACTAGAAGTGAATGTTGTTATATCCCAAGAAAAGGAGAAGACTAGAACGTGGTTGGCTCACACAACCCTCTTTCAATAATACTAAAGTCTGTTTCTGCATCAGCTTACAAATTTTGGATCTTATCTCTCATCACACTCTGTCACTATCTCCATTACACTCAATTCTACAGAAATATTATCTGTGGCCCTGTGATTTCACTCTTCTGTTATATCCCAAGCAAAAGCACCAGGGCCTTCAGACATAATGTCCTCTTCTCATAGATGAAGTAATAAAGCTTTAACGTGACCATTTTAATAAGCCTATAAATGCAAAACTAGTTGAACGTCACCTCAGCTGTCACATTTTATAACTGTGTACAAACACTGACAGTATTTTACTTACTTCATTGGTAAAAAGAAGGTAGAAAGACAGAAGAAATGTCACAAGCCCCATCAACATGCCTCCAGAAGTCTCGCTGAGCCTCTCCAGGAACCCTGGTTTGGACTCAGTTGTGATTCTAACATGTTCTTTTCTGCTGCCTGTGTCAGAGAACTGTTGGAGATAAACCAAAAATGCAATATTGGTGTGAAAGGGGAAAGCATTCTGTTTCAAAATAAGTCTTTTAGCTTTGTTAATACTGCTGCTCTACAGAGTAGCACTTCTTGCCCTGGACCAAAACTTTCCCACACTTATTAAATACCTCATCACACTTTTGATACCAGAAATACAGTCAATAAATAAAACTCAAGCCTGATGGGAAAAAAAACAATTTCTATTATAGTGGTTCAACATGTTCCTTCAAGCTTTCTTCAGTCTGTCTCTAGGTTCCCTATTTGGTGTCCACACCCTGCATTCAGGCCATGACAAATTGAGTAATGCTCCTGAATTCCAGACCAGCTAAAACATAGCTATAAATAACAAGTTATGTTTTACCTCACCAGGGAAAAAGTGCCTGCATACTTTAAAATAGTTGCATCTCAGGCAACAAAAAGAGATAGCCTAAACCAAAATTGCTGTTGCCCATGCCACATTAAAGCGTGAAAGCCCAGGGGTTTATATATACCAGCACTCCGTATGTATGCTAGCTGTGGAGAACAACCAAGAAGCAACTTCAGAGTAGCACACGTATACAAGAAAGGAGATGAGGCTTCTCTTGTGCTCATCTCGAGATGCCAGGCGGGACGTGAAAGCGACCCCTCCGCTGCCCGAGGCGCTGCCCAGGGCCCCTCGCCTCAGACGGGCCACCCGGGGAGCGGCCGCACA